ATGGTAACGAATGAACGCGCGCTCTTAAAACAAATTCTTAAAACAAAAAAAAAAATGATCTACTGAGGCTAGAAGCAGATCTACGAATTTGCGCCGACGAATCAAAGCAAGATAAAGCAGCATTCAGTAAACCACCACCCCTCCATCCTTCACCTTGGCATCGCTCGGGCGTGTGCATTTTCCTCGGCGAGGATAATTAAGGATCATCCTGGATCACCTAGCGACAACATGCACGCGCGAAATAGAACATGCACGGGGAATGGGCTTCCGAGCGATGGCGAGTCACTGGCCAACATAGGTCATGGTAACGAATGAGCGCGCGCTCTTAAAACAAAGTATGAAGAAAATGATGATTTACTAAGGCGAGAAGCAGATCTACGAAATTGCGCCGACGAATCAAAGCAAGATAAAGCAGCATTCAGTAAATGCATAATACCGTTCACTAAATGCAAAAACCGATTTTCCGAATCCGGGGCCGCTTTCCTAAATCCCAGATCCTACCATTACCACGACCTGGGTGGCTCGATCAATCCTTGAAGCTGCTGCAGAACTCAAGCTTCAGGATCGTAAGTGGTGGGGGGGGAGTCTCAGGCGAAACGCCCGGCGTGCACTGCCCACGCGCCCGCGGGGTGCGACGGGGATGAGTTGTGCACGAGGGGGACGGAGGAGGGCGAGGGCAGCGAGGAGGAGGAGGCGGAGGGAGGAGGAAAAAAAGGAGGCAGGAGGAGAATAGAAAGGAGGAGGAGGAGGAGGAGAAACAGCAGCAGGAGAGGAGGAGGAGGAGGAGGAGGAGGAGGGATCGAGGAGAACGGGGGGAGGGGGAGGAGCTTGGGAGAACAACCAAGAGGAGGAGCAGGAGGAGGAGCAGGAGGAGGAGGAGCAGGAGGAGGAGGGAGGAGGAGGAGAGGAGGAGGAGGGAGGGAGGAGGGACTGACGGGAAGGGGCACGAGGAGAAGAGAGAGGACGAGGAGGGAGCCAGGAGGGAAGAGGAGGAGGAGGAGGCCGAGGAGGCGGCGCGGTGCGGAACGGATCCCCCCATCGCAGAGGATGCCTCCCCGCGCGGCCCGCGGCCGCGCCCGCGGCGCGTCGGGCGGAGCCGCGGCGGGCCCCGGGCTGCCCCTGCTGGCGCTGCTCGCCACCGCCGCGGCGCACGCCCCCACGCGGCCCCCGGGGCAGGGCCCCGCCGGCGGCCGGGAGCCGCGCGGGGCTCGGGGCGCGCCGCGCGGGGCTCGGCCGCGCGCGGGAGTGGCCCGTGGCCGGAGGGACCGTCGCTGGTGCGGGCTCGCGGGGGCTCGGCCACGAGCGGGGGGGGGGCAGCGCGGAGGGGCGGGCCTGCTCAGGAGGCTCGGGAGTTCCCCGGCATTCGAAAAGGTCCCTGGGCTTCCCAAGGAGGCAAACCAAAGCTTCTCAGAAGGCGCGAGTGCTTCTGAGAAGTCCCGCCGCCTTATGAGAAGGCCTTCTTCTTCTTCTTCTTCTTCTTCTTCTTCTTCTTCTTCTCACTTCCCCCCCTCGCTCGCCGCCGTGGGGTGGCCCCAGCGCTGGCCCGCGCGCTTGGACTTGGGCACTTCACGGTCCCTCGACGCCGCGCACCAAAAGGCCACTCTTGCCTAGGGTCACTCTTGCGTGGAGTCGAAGGGTTCGTGTCGACTCGTCCGACTCGGTTCCGACTCCGATTCGGCTTCGGAATGCGATGTGTCAGAGGAGGGAAAAAGTTACCCATGCTATTCTGCACCCGGTTTCCCCTATTTTGGGCATCTTGGGAGGCCTTCGTCGGTACCGCTGGATTCGCCTCAAAGTTATGGTCAGAACGCACACCTGGTGATTCTCGAAACATGTATTATCTTGGCGAAGGTCCCAACCATATGCAGTTGTGGGTACCGCATTTGTAACTACCGTCTTTGGTGGAGCTCCCCAAGGGGCCACGGAACGTGTGAGGGGCGTGCCGAATCGGGTGCAGGGTCGCCATGCGAACCCTGCCGCTGGGGCCGTGGGTGGAACTCCCAATGGTGCCACGAAACGTGTGAGGGGCCTGCCGACATGGAGGCGTTGACGCCGCGCGAACCCTGCCGCTCGGGCCTTCGCTGGAGCTCCCCATGGGGCCACGACACGCGCGAGGGGTGTGCCGCAACGGGGGCGGGGGCGCCATGCGAACTTTGCCACTGGGGCATCTGGTGGAGCTCCGTTGGGTTGCGGCTGCTGCCGTGGCCCGCGCGAGTTTCGCGCCTCCCGCGTTTTTCCCTGTTGCCTTCTCCTTCCTCAAGCTTGGGCGCGCGAAGGTAACAACTGCGCCGCGCGATCTCCGCTCCTCCGTCATCTTCAACTCCCCGCCATCCGTCATCATCTTCGTCCTCCCCCTCATCCCCCTTTTGCTCCCGCCCCCTGCTGGCTCCCCTCTCCTCTCCTGTTGTTCCCCGCTCTCCTCGCCTCTTCCTCCTTCCGCTGCTACTACTTCGACCTGCTTCCTACTCCCAGTCCCTCCGCCTTCTGTGTCCGCACTCCCCTTCTTCCGCACTTCTCTCCTAGTCCCCCGTCGTCGCCCACTCCTCCGGTGGAGGAGGAGGAAGACAACAGGGAGGGATAGGGGCATGGGGAGGAGAACAAGGCCTTCCTCTGCTTTGTCCTCGGCGTCTCTTCTCCTCCATCTTTGCCCCCCGTCCATCCCCTCCATCATCGGCCTTCTTTTGCTCCCCGCCACCGGCAGCATCACCATCATCATCAGCATGACTGTACTCTTCCGCTGTATCCTGTTTGTCCTCGTCCTCACCCCCATCTCTTTCTACAGCATTGCACGGTCTTTAGGTAGGACCCGCCGTCTCCCCCCCCCTCATCGTCCTCTCTGTTTCTTTTTGTCCTCTTCTAAGTATTACAATTATTATTAGCACTCTTGTTTATAGTATCATGAGTATCCTCATTACCATCACTATTATCATCCTCCGTTCCCTTTCGCCCACTCCTCCAGCTTCCGCCCCATCGCCCCCGTCGTCGTCGTCCTCTCCTGCTTCCTCCTCGTCTCATCCGCCCCCCTCCTGCTGGAGTTGTCAAGAGGTTGCCTGACTGCATTGCGGATCATCCGCCCCCCTCCTGCTTGAGTTATTAGCAGGCTGCCTGACTGCAGTGGGGCAGTGGAGGAGGAGGAGGAGGAGGAGGAGGAGGAGGCCGACAAGCGAAGGAGAAGCAGAGACCCAGGAAGAGGGGAGAGGGGTGGAGTGGAGTGGACGCCACGACGATGTCATACGGGTAGAAGGAATTACCTCACAGCCTTCGCAGCTTCTGCTGCCTGTTGGCGGTGAATGAGAGCCTCGAAGGAGGTAGGGGTGAGGGGCGAAGGACGATGGAGCTAGGAAGGGATCGGAAGGGCCGATACCGGGTCGAAGGGAGCGGGAACGGTGCGTGACAGCATTTCTTGTTCAGCTCGAATCAGCGGGGGAGGAGGGATGAGGCAAGGGCGAGGAGGAGCAGGGCAGGAGGGGGCGGTCGGGATCCCTCGGACCAGTGTTGCGCTTGTGTAGACACCCGAGGCGAAAAGTAATGGGAAGCACTCGTCCAGTCCTTGACGCCTCTGGTGGAAAATCACCTCTCTGATCAGTCGGCGCGACGTTCGCGCGGCAGCATTGCGTGGAACATGCTCGTCCGGCGGTCGCCGACGCGGTGAAACCGCGCGCTCCGGCAGCGCAGCCCTCGCGGGAAGAGAGACGCACTCTGCTCCGTGGCCGACCCCGCTTGTGAACGCTCGCGCGGGAGGCACCCCGCCGGTCGGGCCCAGGACCAGGGGTGGACAGACCTTCTACCTTGACACGTCGATTAAGGAATTGGCCGTTTTCGGTTCGCGAGAGGGCGTCGCGGCCGTCGTTTTTGCGGGTCCAGGTCCGTCGGTTTCGGTCCCAGGCCGTTTTCACTAAGGGGAGGTTTACTAAAGGACGGTTTGTCCACCGCCGACAGGACCGGCAAGCAATCACTCCAGATCATCTCAGCGGCACCGTAACGGGTACTCACCAACGGGTACTTTGGAAAGTTGCCGAAAGTTGGCAGTTTAGGTCCTCTCTCTGGCATTGCAGCGTTGCCCGCATCGGGGAGGGCGGGGTTCGCCGGGTCACTGGCCAAAGTACCCGTTAGTGGAGTCCCCGTTAGAGGGGCGCCGAAGATCGTCCCCCGCACCTCTCGCAGCCTCTCAGGAGCGCTCCGGGACGGCCGCGGCGCCCGATGCCTCCTCCAGAACCGCGGGAGTTCCGAGATCCCCGATCTGTCTTTAGGGGAACAAAAAGTGACATAAGCATAAAAACTCGGAGGTCCGCGCGGATTTCCCAGATCGGCGCTGGACCCCACTCCCTGGCGCGCGGAGCGCGCCAGGGGCGGCGCCGGAGGCGCCGCTAGGGGGCTCCAGCACGGATCCAAGAAGTCCGCGCGGACCTTTGAGTTTTCATGTGTATGTCACTTTTCGTTTCCCTATGTCCTGGTCCGACTCCTGCCGCGGTCCTGGCTTCGTCTTCCCGCGGGGCCGTGGCTCCTGCGGCGTGGCAGCAGCGCGGGCGCGGGCGGCCCACGGCCGAAGAGCGCCTCTCTCGGGAAGGCCCCAGGGTCAGCGGCGGCTCCCTCCATCCTGCCAGGGGCTTTTGCCGTGTTGCGCCCCCGCTCCGAGGGAGGAGGAGGAGGAGGAGGGAGGAGGAGGAGGGAGGAGGGAGGAGGAGGGAGGAGAGGAGGAGGAGGAGGGAGGAGGAGAGGAGGAGGAGGAGGGAGGGAGGAGAGGAGGAGTGAGGAGGAGGACGAGGCGCAGGTGGAGGTGGTGGTGGAGGGGGGCGAGGAAGAGTTGGAGGCAGAGGCGGAGGAGGCGGGCGAGGTGGAGGAGGTGGAGGAGCAGGCTGGGAGGAGGAGGTGGAGGAGGAGGCGGTGGAGGCGGAGGTGGAGGTGGTGAATGCGGGGCTTGAGAAGGAGGAGTCTGATGATGTCGAGGAGGAGGGGGCGAATCTGCTTCCACGGATGGCGCCTCTGGGCCGTGGGGCGCGGGCGGCGAGGAGATCGAGCCCCTGACCTGGGAGGCCGCCTACGCCATGGCGAACCAGACGCTGGGGCGGATGAAGGTCGGGGCGCTCGGCAGCGGAGGAGGAGGAGGGGGAGGAGGAGGAGCATGAGGAGGACGAGGAGGAGGAGGAGGAGAAGGAGGAAGGCGGAGGAGGAAGGTGGAGGAGGAGGAGGAGGAGGAGGAGGAGGAGGAGGAGGAGGAGGAGGAGGAGGAGGAAGGCGGAGGAGGAAGGTGGATAGGCCGAGAGAAAATCTGGCAAGACTCCTGGGGCGCGTCGCGGCGGGGGCAATGCAGTCATAGTCATAACGAGGTGTAAGATGGAGGTCGGTTCGGGGAGGGTACCCTAATGTTCTTCGCGACTGTTGGATCTTATGGTGCATCCTGCTGGAGGGCACCATCGAAGGATCTCAGGGTTTGGGGTGCGTTGGCCGGCGGAGGGTCTGTTTTTGAAAGCTGTTATTCTGGCCCAGGTCCGACTGCACACTCATGTCAAACATCATCTCATCCAGATCCCCCCCGCGCCGTGGAGAAATCGCGACTGGTGGTTGTTGGCTATTTTTTTGTTCGAGGAGCCCGCACGGGGAGGGCCTCGCAACTGCCCAAAACGGCCCAGGATGAGAAGCCGGTCCTCGGGAGGGGGTCGAGACCTCCGGGGGGCCGCGTCGTGAAAGAGAGCACGGCGTCGGGGTCTGAGAACCGATCCATCTCTCCACTTAGGCCATGGTACCTCAGTCCCACGGGTCCACCCCCTCGGTTGGGGGTGGGCCCCGCCAGCCCCGAGGGAACAGCGTATATCCCCATCTAGGGGGTTAGACCGGTCAGAGGGGCCAGGGCCATGCCAGTGAAGATGGGGATCGGTCAAACTGTGCTCATCAGGGGAGCGAGAAATGAAGGGAATGGAAAGTTCCCAGATTTCACACGGTTCCATGAATCCCTATATTTTGTCGTTCCACACGGGCTTCATAGACGAGGGCCGCTAGATACCCCAGAAGGTACTCCGACATTCTTGGAACGCATTTTGAGCCAATCGCAGCATGCCATCATTCTTGTCCTCTACACGGGGGGGAGCGGCGATTGCAGTTTTCCAGGCCTCCAGACCTGGTCAGAGAGGCTGGGGTCGGAGGACAGCGCCGCGTCGCAGCTGCATGGCGGTGCGGCTCGACGTGGAACAGATTCTCCGCGCGCCGGCATCGCCAATGCACCGACGATGCGGCGCGATCCTCCGACCCCATTTACAGTGGGGGCGGTGAAGAAGAAACCTTTTTCGTTTGGGAGGGGCTCCGTGTTCCTTGGTTGTTTGACTGTTTGCCTTAGTTTGACCTTCGGTGTTCGAATGGAAATCGAGGTTAAACTCAAGGAAAGAAGGGGCCTCGTTCCTTATTTATCGTTCCTTAGGTCAACGCCCCGACTGCACTCCGGCCCCACCTCTTCGGGCCCTTTTAGTGAAGTGGCAGATGGTCTCTAAGCTGCTACCGCGGGCCATGCTCGCCCCGCGTTCACGTCCCCCCCGTGAACCGACCGCCCGGGCAGGCCAGGGAGAAGCACGCCCTGCTCCAGGGCGTCGGCTACGATGAGCACCGCTGGTGGGAGGTGAAGAAAGGGTACTACGTCGGCAACACGCCCGCCATGCCTCACCTGGGTATCCCCAGCCTCAAGATGCAGGACTGGAACAAGAACAAAATGCATGAGCGTATTCAGGAGGGGAAAAAACATACAGACACCATGAATCGTCGATCCCAAGGAAAATATAGGAAAATATGGGAAGTGAGGGGGAGGACGAACATCAAAAAAACATTGGAAAATATTGAGAATCCTATCATTGCGAAAGCCTTACGGCCAGCGCCGCCGACCCTGAGGTTGGGGAGGAGGGCGCGGAGCATGGGGAGGGAGGAAGACGAAGAGGGGGACAGGAGGAAGAGGCGGATGAGGAGAAGTAGGAGCACAGGGGGGGAATGAATAGGAGGAGAGTGAGGCGAGCAGGGTAGCGAGGGGGGGTACGAAGGAAGGGCAGGGGCGAGTAGAGCGTGGCGATCATGAGGAGGAGAATGAGGAAGATAATGGCGAAGATGTTGACGATGTTGACGACGCCGGTTGCCTATGAGGACCATTCGGGGCGTTTTGGAGCCCTCCTGGGGCGGTCGACTTCCAGGCTTCGTTCGTTGTTTTGAGGCTAGTTTCGGCATCTTGTGCATCTAGGAGGCCACGGAGGTGTAGTTAGGTTTGGAGGGCGCTGGGCCAGGTCCGGGGCCAGTGCGGGCCGGGAGCCACGGCCAGGGCCGGGGCCGAGGCTGGGACTGGGGCCGGGGGCAGGGCGGGCCGGGGACGGCCAGGGCCGGGGCCAGGGGCGGGGCCGAGGCCGGGACTGGGTCCATGGCTGGGGCCGGCGGGGCGGGAGTCGGGGCTGGCCGGGATTGGGGCCAAGGAGGGGAACTGTGGGGGCTCGAGTCAAGAAACAACCACATTACCCCTGGATCACCCCCCCCAGGACCACCCCCCGCGACACCCCCCCGGGACCCCCCCCGCCGGGACACCTCCCCCGCCCCGGGAAGGGATCCAAGGGAAGGGTTTCGCCTTTACCTGCACGTGAACGATGTTACCTGGCGTATTGGCTGGAGTGGATTGTTTAGCCTTCACCTCCACGTCAACGATGTTATCTGGCGTACGACTGGAGTGGATTGCTTCGCCTTCACCTCCACGTCAACGATGTTATGTGGCGTAGTGGCTGGAGTTGCTGCGGAAGGGATGGCGGCGACCACGCGGACGAAAGCGTCTCACACACGCCGACAGGGTCGGCGGATTTGTGTGCATTTATTCGTGTGTCCCTGGGCCCCTCGCATGTGGCAGGTTCGCGGAAGTGCCGACGCGCCGACCACGCCGTGGACGTTGTCAAGGTGGAACGCCGCCAGTGGCCCAGAATTCGCCAACACGGAAAGATCTGGCGATCGAGAAGCCACCGCCGGAGGTTGATAGACCCCCTAATTCCCCTGACACGTCGATCAGCGAATTGGCCGTTTTCGGTTCGCGAGGGGGCGTCGCGGCCGTCCCTCTCGCGGGTCCAGGTCCGTCGGTTTCGGTCCTAGGCCGTTTTTCACGAAAGGGTGGTTCAGTAAAAGGAGGTTTTTCCACCGCCGAATGAAAAGATCTGGCGATCGAAGAGCCACCGATCGTTCAAGGTTGAACCATCCGCGCTATCGCAGAAGCAATCGCCAGGGCCTTCGGATGACCGCGCATATTTCAAATGAACTTGCACGCGCCTCCGAAAGCTTGTGCTGCTGCTCGTGCAGTGCTCTCCTCCTCTCGGATGCAACTCCTGGGAGGTCAAACGCTGTTTTTGCCCTGGTCCGGAATCCGGTTTGATCTGCTCATTATCGCTTAATCCGTTAATCCGCGGCCCAATCCGGCGCAACAACCCCCCATGGGGTTCAATTCTCCCCAATCCTTCCGACGAAAAATTCCCATCAGTTGCTCCCTCACAGTGCTCTCCTCTTCCGAGGATGGTGGCGCGGGGTTCCACCTGAAGTTCTCGGGGGGCCTGGGGACGATGACCTGCTGGCCTTCGCTGCTGGCCTTGGCGGCCACCTGGGACCCAGCCCTGGCCCGCGAGTACGCGGCGGCCCTCGGGGAGGACCGGGCGCACGGGGAGGGTGGCCGTTCGCTGGAGTGGCCTGTGGTACGCGGCTCTCGTGTGGCGCGGGTGTCAGGGGCAACGTCAGTCACCACCCACCAAAGCACCCCATCCCAACCCGAAGGCCCCAATTTGTCTGCCATTCCCAGTCGGGGGGGCGTCGGGGAACATGGAGAACACGCATGTGGAACCCGTGATTACCTCGCAATTTGGATCCTTTGAGAAGGTTGGGGTGGTCTGGTAGGTAGTCAGTCACGGGGGGATAGATAGGCTAGGGTTCAGTCGGGCATGTCCCCCTACAGGAGGAAAAGTCGACAATAGTTGAAAAATTGTCTGGGGATGATTTTTTGATCAAGTTTGACTATTTGGGGGCTTTTTTCACTATTATGTAGCTTTCCTCCAAAATCCCCCTGTAGGGGAGGGGGGACGCGCCCGACCTAAGGCTTTGGGGGGGTGGATCGACCCCCGATCGCGTATGTTCATCGCCGATTGGGGGGGCTGCTGGCCCACTCCGCCCTTGGAGCGTGCGGCTTCGCTATATCGGGGGCACATCTCCGATTCATCGGGGATGCACCGCCGACTTCCGGCTTGAAGTGTCCCGCCCTGAACCGATCCCCCCCCTATCTCAGGAGCGAAAGAAGGACGTACACGTACTCCAGATTTCGTAAAAAAGGGAGGGGGGTCTCATTTCGGGGGGGGTCTCTTCCAGGCTATCTTGGAGGGCCTGGAGGGGTCTGGGGACGATGTTTTGGAGGGTTCTCCCACGGGGGGGGGTCTAAAACTTCTCGTCTGGGAAGATTGAGACCCCCTCCCTTGTGTCACGAAATCTGGAGTACACGTACACGAATCCACGCTGATTTCGAGGGTACGCACTGCGCAAATCTTCGTATAGCGCGGCCGGTCTCGCGGATCGAGGCGGCGCGTTCATGTACACAGCTGGGCGCGTACGTCCTTTGTGGCCTCCCTACTATCGATGCCCTTCAGTCGGGACCTCGCAAAGGGGGGGGGGGGCGCAGGGCGCATCAAGCCGCAGAAAAACTATGCAAAACGAGGTCTCTGGCCGCCGCCGGAACCCGAGAGGTGTCGACAATCGGGGCGCGCGGGGGGCATTGTTTTTCGGAAGTTCGATGCACCAGCGGATCGAACTCCCGTCCCTTCTCAGGGCCCCCACCCCCTCTGCTGGGCCCCGATTCAGGGTGGGGGCGCGCGGGAGGGGGGGGGGGGGTAAGCCGAGGCCCGTGTGCCATGGCTGTCGCGTCGCATGCAGCGATCGCCGAGCCTGGGCCCTTGACGTCGTGGTCGTTAGACAGAGTGTGGGCCCCCCCCCCCCCGGGGTGTCTCGACCAGCTCCCTGGGACTGGCTGAGCATCCCGAGTCGCTTTTCGTTGGGTCCCAGAGCCCGGCGGGGGCCACTCGGCCACCACCGTGTCAACATTGAGCTACACTGTCAATGCCTCGCTCTCCTGAGGCTCTGCTGTGTTCTTGTTCGCTGACATCTGCCGCGTGTACGGAGCTGCACTGTCGATGACGCGCTCTCCTGCGGCTCTGCTGTGCTCCTGCTCGCAACGCGCACCGCCTGAGGCGGCGGAGAGCTCGAGAGGTCCAGCCACGAAAAGTGCCGGGCCGAAAAGAGTGCCACCCTGCCGGCGCGGAGGGGAGGGGGTCTCCGGGAACCGAGGGGGTCCCCGGGAGCGAGGGGGTCTCCGGGAGCCGCGCGAGGGGGTCTCCGGGAGCCGCGCGCCGCTCTCGCCGACCGCGCCGCGCCTCCTCCTCCTCCTCCTCCTCCTCCCTCCTCCTCCTCCTCCTCCCTCCTCCTCCCTCCCTCCTCCTCCTCCCCTCCTCCTCCTCCTCCTCCTCCTCCTCCTCCTCCTCCTCCTCCTCCTCCTCCTCCCTCCCTCCTCCCTCCCTCCCTCCCTCCCTCCCTCCCTCCCTCCCTCCCTCCTCCTGCATTTCGCGCGCGGCCGGGGAGGAGTTCGCCGGGAAGGGTGCCAACGGCATGCTCGGCCCCTCCCTGGATGTGCACCGGGTGGCCCGCAACGGGCGGAACTTCGAGTACCTCTCGGGCGAGGACCCCTACCTCGGCGCGAGGCCGCCCGTGGCAACGTGCGGAGAGGAGGAACAACAATCAAAAACATGAGCATAAACTGTTGGCGCTCCGCGCGGAGTTCTTGGATCCGCGCCTGGGCCCCTCTGGCGGCGCCTCCGGCGCCGCCCCTGGCGAGCTCCGCGCGCCAGGAAGGGGGGCACAGGCGCGGATCCAAGAACTCCGCGCGGAGCGCCAACAGTTTCTGTTTATGCGGCTTGTTTCTTCTTCTAAACGTGCGAGGTGCGAGGCTTCCGGACGGTTTCGTGGGTTCTCCACGGCTTCCCAGCCTCGGGATGCGCTCCAGCAGTTGCGCCTCGCCGAGGGCGCGAGGGGGGTGTCCCGAAGCGTCCCGAGCGGCCGCCCGAGAACCAAGCTCTGACCCGGATGCCGAGACCAGTCAGCGTTAGGGTGAAGTCGGGCGTGTCCCTCCACAGGAGGCAAATTCAAAAATAGTCAAACAATAGTCCGGGGGACGATTTGTCGATTACCTATACGACCACCTTTCGGGTGATACGGAGGTTGTGGGGGGGTGGAGAGGGGGGGAACCAACATCTGACTCAACCGATCTCATTATCGATCTCACTCAACGGGGCCCCACGGGACACCACAGGGCACTTGTCGATCTCACTATAGATCTCACTCAACGGGATACCACGGGCCACCACGGGACACCGCGGGACACCTCTCGATCTCACTATCGGTCTCACTATCGATCTCACTATCGATCTCACTCAACGGGACACCACGGGACACACCACATCGATCTCACTATCAATCTCCCTATCGATCTCACTATCGATCTCACTCAACGGGACACCACGGGAGTCCACGGGACACCTGTCGATCTCATTATCGATCTCATTTTTTGGGACACCTCGGGGCACCACATCGGTCTCAGTATCGATTTCACTATCGATCTCACTATCGATCTCACTCAACGGGACACCACGGGATACCACGGGACACCACAGGACACCAGACACCACGGGACACGGGACACCACGGGACACCGCCAGGGCCACCGCCGGACGGACGGACGGACGGGGGACGGGGGAGAGTTATTTGTCTTGACTTTTCCCTAGCAACGGCGGACACCACGGGACACCACGGGACACCGCGGGACACCGCTAGGGCCACCGCCGGACGGACGGACGGACGGGGGATAATCATTTGTCTTGACTTCGCCCTAGCAACGGCGGGTTCATTCCTCTCGCGCGCCCACGCAGCTTCGCCTCGCACGCACGCACGACACGAACGAAACGAAACGATTTCCCGATTGGGGGTCTCCGTTCCACTGCAATCTCACCCCCCAACCTCCGATTTTGAGTATTCCTGAGCATTTTTTCGATATTTGTTTGTTTCGTCCAAAATCCCGCTTTAGGGGGGCATGCCCGACCTAACGCCAGGGGGGGATATCAGAGCCCCGAATCATCAGGGGTAACTCGGGTCAGGGCTAACTCGGGTTCGCTTTTCGGGGTTCCGAACCCGAGTTACCCCGGGCCCGAGTTACCCCGGATAACTCGGGCGTCCAGAGCCCCGAATCATCAGGGGTAGTAACTCGGGTCAGGGCTAACTCGGGTTCGTTTTTCGGGAATCCAAACCCGCGTTACCCCGGGCCCGAGTTACCCCGGATAACTCGGGCGCCCAAGGATAGCCTCAGGCGGGGGATGCATCGACCCCCAGTCGACGGGCCGTCGGGGCCTGACAGCCCGAACCGCCCAGAAGCGTGCGGGTTCGTCGTCGGGGGCCTCCTTCTCAGCATACAGCTCTTGCACGGTGGAGGTCGGCATCGGCGCTGGCACGTCCGTGCTGGAGAGTTGGCATCGTCTGGCATCATCCCGCCGAGTCTTGCTCGATCCCTCACAGTCTGTCTGGATCGAAATGAAGATTGGGTTGAATCTGGCCTATTCTGGCATACCCCTAATCGGGCTTGATCATCCTTAATCGTTTTTGCGAAGACCTCCAAGGAGTTGCTCCCTAATATCGCCGACACATAATATATATAGTATGTATGTATGTATGTATGTATGTATGTTTGGATGGATGGATGGATGGATGGATGGATGGATGGTTGGTTGGATGGATGTATGTATATGTAAATGTATGTATATGTATATGTATATGTATGTGTATGTATATGTATGTGTATATGTATATGCATATGTATATGTATATATATGTATATGTATATGTATATGTATATGTATAGGTATATGTATATGTATATGTGTATGTGTATGTATATGTATATGCATATGTATATGTATATGTACATGTATATGTATATATATCCATACATACATATATATATATATATACATAGATGGGCGACGAATCGCGGATTCCAGAATGTTTCCCCCGCCCCGAGCCGGTCCCCCCCCCGAACGTTTCCCCCCAGGCTGGCGGAGGCGTACGTCCAGGGCCTGCAGTCGAGGGGCGTCTTCGCCGTCGTCAAGCACTGGATTTTCAACTCCCAGGAGACCTACCGAACGAGCGGCCTGTCTCGAGTAAGACATTGCAAAAAGACACACTTGGAGATCCGTGCCAACCTGTATCGGGGCCCTTTTTGGACCTGTTTCGGGGCGCCTTCGACCCCGAGAAAAGGAGTGCGGGATGCGACGGAGAGGAACCGCGGGGGGGCACGCCGGGAACCTCGTAGTTGAGAAGTTGGTGTCCGGGCGCCTCTTGGCGTTCCATCCGGAGGGCTGAGGCCAGGACTGCGATGAAGTCAGGCCTGCCCCTCTACAGGAGGAATCTTCCCAAATAGTCAAACAAAGTAGTTTGGGGGCGATGGTTTTAGAATTATGGGGCTACTTGTTCTATATTTTTGGAATATGTTGTATTTCTCATCCGGGATCCCCCTGTAGGGGGACATGCCCGACCTGAGACTTCGAGGGACCTGCAGGCACTCCACGTCGTGCCTCGTGGCACGGCTGCGGACGCTGCGGGAGGTCCGCGCGGATCTCGGGGGTCGGCGTTGGCCCCGCCTCCCTGGGTCGCGGAGCGCGCCAAGGGGCGGCGCAGGAGTCGGGCGACGAGACGTATGCTCAGGTCGGGCATGTCCCTCTACGGGAGGCATAGTTTGTGTTTATGTTATACAAAGCTTGTCGACGATATGTTGGCTATGGTTGCTCATCCTTGCGTATGTTATGATTCGTTTCCATATCTCTTTTCAAGATCCGCCTGTAGGATAAGTCGGGCCTGTCCCTCTGCAGGGGGAAGATTCAAAAATTGTCAAAAAATAGTCTGGGGACAATGTTTTGACTAATTTTGAGCATCTTTGGAGCAGTTCTTGAGTATTCTTAATTTTTCGCCCAAGATCCCCCTGTAGGGGGACATGCCCGACCTAACTGTAGGAGGACATGCCCGACCTAAAAGTATGCACGTGCACCGACCGCGACCAGGTCCAGCGTGGGCCCAGGCTCGGCGTATACACGCCCCCCTCCTTGCCAAGCCAGGAGGGCATACTTGCACCGATCCTGGGCGCAGGATGGGCCTGACCGGGCTCGGTGCAAGTGCACAGTTTTCTTTTTCTTCTTATTTTGCGTACTCGTCTGACTAATAGTAGTACTATTCATAATATTATTCTTAGCATTATTATGTCCAGTATTATTCTTACGATTCGTATTAAGATTCTTCTGATTCGCATTATTATTGTTACTATTCGTATTAAGATTCTTTCTCTTCTTCTTCTAAGGAGGCGACGCCGTGGGGGTCCAGCACGGATCCAGAGCGTTCCAGAACGCTCTCAGAGCGTTCCGGAGCGCTCTGCGAAGGCCGCGGTGCCCGGGACATCTTTCAGGGCCGCCGGGTCTCAATGGGTGTTCGAAGTATCTTCACGCGATGTTGCTTTCGTCTTGGCTTCGTCTCAGCAGCGCGTATCCGAGGAGTCTCCGCGCGGACCTCCGAGAAAAGGTTCTGTGTTTTTCCAGGAGGGAGAAAAAACACACAGACACAATTAATCGTCGATCCCCCAGAGAATATGGGAAAATATGGGAAGAGGGGGGAAGGCAAAGACCCAGGAACATGTCGGAAAATATTGGGGATCCTATCATTTGTGTGTATTTATCTGTGTGTGTCCCTAGGTCCCTTCAATTCTGGCGAGTGTGCTCTTGGCATCGCTCGGACGTGTGGTGTTGTGTGCGCTTCTTTCTCGGCGCGGACCGTCGAGGGACATCCTGGAGCATCCGGCAGAGCAAGCGCGCACGGGGCCGAAGAATGCACAGGGAGTGGGCGTCCGAGCGATGGCAAGCTCACTTCTGCACGGAGGGAGGGGGTGCGGGGTGAGGGCCGCTGCGGGGCGCGAGAGGAGATCTGGACTTCGCGCAAGCGGGCACTGGCTCGCACGCCTGCTCCGCCCACTGGTGTCTGGAAGGGCGGCGACGGGAGGTGGGAGGGAGTGCAGGGAGAGGAACAGGGGGGGGGAGAGTCGGGTTGACCCAAAGGGGGTCCAGCGACAAGGGGGTGGTGCAATAGATTTGGTGCAAGAGATTTGTGGGGTTGCAATACATTTGGGGCGTGCAACACATTCCGAGGCGCAAATGTATTGCTGGATTTTCGCGTGCAATACATTAGCTGCAATACAATGCAATACAATTCTCCGGCGCAATACGTCTGCAATACAATTGTCCCAAATCTATTGCACCACCCCCTTGCAGCTGGACACTCTTTTGAGCCGCCCAAAGAGAGGGAGGGGCGGAAGGGAAATGGGGAGGACGAGTCAAAGGGATGAGGGAGGAGGAGGAGGAGGAGGAGGAGGCGGAGGAGGAGGAGGGGGAGGAGGAGGGGGAGGAGGAGGAGGAAGAAGGGGGGGGAGGAGGAGGAGGAGGAGAGGAGGAGGAGGAGGGGAGGAGGAGGGAGGAGGAGGAGGAGGAGGAGGAGGAGGAGGAGGGAGGGGAGGAGGGGGAGGGGAGGAGGAGGAGGGAGGAGGAGGAGGAGGAGGAGGAGGAGGAGGAGGAGGAGGAGGAGGAGGAGGAGGAGGAGGAGGAGGAGGAGGGGGGGAGGGGGGCGAATCTGCACAAGGACAGCCTCTTCTCAAGCCCTCTCCGAAGCCCCGGCGCCTTCCCTGAAGGCCTGCGCTCCTTCCCTCTCTTCCTTTCTTCGGTCCGCCGCCGAGAGCAGGGGAACCGACAACAACATAAACATCTCGAATGTTTAGAAGAAGAAACAAACCACATAAACATAAGCTGTTGCTCCGCGCGGATTTCTTGGACCCGCGCCGGACCCCCCTCGCTGGCGCGCGGAGCGCGCCAGGGGCGGCGCCGCCAGGGGGCCCCAGCGCCGATCTGAGAAATCCGCGCGGACCTCCGAGTCGTCATGTTCATGTCGTGGTTTGTTTCCCTAGAGAGGAGACCAACCGAGAGAACAGCTCCTCGGAGGTGGACGAGCGGACGGCCTGGGAGCTATACTACCCCCCCTTCGAGGCGGCCGTCGACGCGGGGGCTTCCGCGGTGATGTGCGCCTACAACAAGGTGAACGGCAGGTACGCCTGCGAGAACAGCCAGCAGCTCCAGGACGTGCTCCGGCGCCGGATGGGCTTCCAAGGGTCCTCCGGGGGCCCCGAAGCGATGTGGTAACCACACCGCGTGGTGAGTCAGATCGGCGGTTGCTAAAGGTACCCCTAGCTCAAGGTGCCCCCAGCCTTTCGCTCAGTTTTGGTGCCCCAGGGGCCCTCTGGGCCTCATGAGGGGTGCTCTGGAGGCCGTGGGGGCTTCCTTGGAAGTCCTGGGGGCATCTTCGGCCAGGCGCACTTCTGGCAACACCAGATCAGAGGGGATCCGAGGTGACTCGAAGAAGAAAGGACTATACACAAAGATATCAATCTTACGGAGCTCCGCGCGGATGTCTTGGATCGGCGCTGGAGCCCCCTGGCGGCGGGCACGCCGCCCCTGGCGCGCTCCGCGCGCCAGGGAGGGGCGTTCAGCGCAGATCCAAGGAATCCGCGCGGACCTCCAAAGGTTTATCTTTACGCAGTTGTTTCTTCCTCGTGACCGCGCGGTTTGAAGACTCAGGCCGTTCCCCGAGGACGTCTCGGGCGATTTGGACCTCAAGGGATTCCAAACAGCGCGGTGACGGACCGTGCTGTCAGGCCCCAGGGTATCCCGAGGTCACCGCACGGTCTGTCACCGCACTGCTTTGGATCCCCAAAGGTTCGTGCAGTCGGACTGGTGGGCCACGCAGAGTCTGAGCATCAAGGAGGGTCTGGACCAGGAGATGCCCGGCGAGGGGACTCACGTGTATTTCGACGATCTCGACGGCATCTCGCGGAAGAGCCCAGCCGCGGTCGACGCCGCCGTGGCGAGGATCTTGGCGGTGATCTACCGGATGCGCCTGGGGGAGACTCGAAGAAGGGACAACGCCATACACATAAATGTTCGAGGGTCCGCGCGGATTTCTTGGATCTGCGATGGACCTCCCTCCCTTGGAAGAAGAGACAACGCCATAAGCATAAACTTCTGGCGCTCCGCGCGGGTTTCTTGGATCCGCACTGGGCCCCCCCAGCGGCGCCTCCGGCGCCGACCCTGGCGCGCTCCGCGCGCTACGGAGGGGGGTCCAGCGCAGATCTACGAAACCCGCACAGAGCGCCACAAGTTTATGCTTGTGGCGTTTCTCTTCTTCTATGCCTGGCGCGCGAAGTTCCTGGCGCGCGGAGCGCGCCAGGCACGGCGCCAGAGGCGCCACCAGGAGGCGCACCGCAAATCCAAGAAATGCGCGCGGACCGTCGAAAGTTTCTGTTCATGACGTTTTTCCTTCCTCTAGAGACCAACGAGTGCACCCCTCCCCACTGCATGGAGGCGATGATGCGGAACGTCACGAGCGCCAGTCACTCCGAGCTCGCGGCAAGGGTGGCCACGGAGTCGATCGTCATGCTAAGAAACGAGGACTCGAGGAAGAAAAAATCGCATAAACCAGGATCCACGAAAGCGAAGCGTACGGTCAGAACTCATAGCACGGACGCACGGATGTCCTCAGGGTGCGCCCCTGCGTCCTCGCGGCTCTCGTTTGCCAACTTCGGCGCCCAAGGCTTTTGCGACCTTACCACAAGTCTTTCCTACTCGGGGGTGGACAGAACCCCCAACAATGACACGTCGATTAGCGAATTGTCCGTTCTCGGTTTTCGAGAGGGCGCCGTGGCCGTTATCTTCCAGGCTTGCGCCCGCCAGGTTTGGGCCTCAGGTCGTTTTCACTACACCACGTTTTGCTAAAGGGGGGTCCGTCCACCCCCGAACTACACAGATCTCTCGGCTGTGGTTACACTCCCCGCGCCTCCCTCGCGGCTCTGCCGCGCGCGCGCGCCGCCTGTCTGCAGCCGTTTTTGGGGTGTCGAGCGAGGGACCGCTTGTCTCCCGCCCGCCCCACACCCCTTTGTGTTGGCTTTTGCTGCTGCCTGGGCCTCCCAGCTGCGGCCGGAGCAGCTGGTCACCACCCACCAAACCACCCCAACCCAACCCGAAGGCTCAGATTTACCCTCGATTTCCAGTGGGGGGGGTCGGGAAACATTAGAAAACACATGTGGAACCCTTACCCCCCCAACCCGAAATTCGGGTCTTCGGGTTGGGTTGGGGTGGTCTGGTAGGTAGTCAGATGGGGTCGGAGGATAGCGCCGCGCCGCCGACGCATCGGCGATGCGGCTCGCTGCGGAGCCCGAGTTTCTCCACGCCGGCGTCGCCGACGCACCGCCGACGTCGGCGATGCATCGTCGATGCGGCGCGATCCTCCGACCCCATCTTCTCGGACCCCTATCGGGGAGGCCTCTAATGAAAAAGAGGAGGACGGGGTGCAGGAGCTAACGCAAACTTTCGGAGGCCCACACGGATGTGTTGGCTCTGCGTTTGGCCTTCTTAGCGGCGCTTGAGGCGCCGCCCTTGCCACGCTCTGGGCGCGAGGGAGAGGGGCCCGCGCGGACCTCCGAAAGTTTGTGTTTCTGCGGTGCGTTGCTCATCGAAGGACGCCGCCCTCCCGCTGAAGCCGAGGGACCAGGGCGGCCCAGGGTCCATCCTGGTGGTGGGCGAACGGGCGTTGCGTAATGTGATGGGCCTGTTTTCCACCACCACCACCACAAGTTGAAGGGGGGGGAAGGAGGAGAGGAGGAGGAGGAGGACGGAGGAGGAGGAGGAGGTGGTGGAGGAGGAGGGGGAGGAGAAGTAGGACCCTCTCCCCCTCCTAATGGGGGGGAGACAATAACATGGGGGGCTAAGGATGAAATGTGCACCCATCATGTACCTTCGGGGCCCTGAAAGGGGCCCCCTGGGCACGAAGAGTGCGCGCTCCCTCGCCCCCCCCAAGTCTCGGCCACCCGCTCTGGGCCGGATTTTTGGACACGCGGGCGTGGTTTCGTCTCTCCTCCTCCCTCGTCTTTCCCGCATTGCTTCCTTCTTCGTCGCCCCCTTCCCCCTTCCCTCCTGGACAGTTCTTGCATGGTGGAGAGACCCCTTCACATCAGATGAGCGACGCAAAGAGAAAATGGGGTCGTCTGCCATCAGCGCGTAAGCTGCCCGCGTGAGGTCGCCCGTAAGCGCTCTCGTCTCCGATGCAGCGTGCCGCGCCGCCTGCCCCCGCAAGCCGCCGCGTAAGTTCGCCGTGCCATCTCGCGTGAGGCCCGTTTCTGATCGTCGCTCAGTTGGGAAGTTGGCAATTGTACAGTCGGGGCCCTGAAGAAGGAACCCTTTTGGTTGGAGAGGGGCTCCGCGTTCATTGGGTGTTTCACAGCTTGCCTCAGGTTGTCCTTATGTTTTCGATAGGAAATCGGAGTTCAACTTATGGACAAAAGGGGCCTCGTTCCTTATTTAGGGTTCCTTAGGTCAACGCCCCGACTGTACCATCCCGAGCCGAACCTCGTCGTCTTTCCTGTCCCTCTGTGCAGAGCAAGAGAAGACGTGTCTTCGCCTCCCCGCTGATCGCCCTGTGGGCGACAAAAACACATCCGTACCCGTGGCCTCGCAGGCAGGATCCTTGTGCCGCGACCCCGCAGCTGCGGTGCGTTCCTTTTCTTGTCCGCGGATGCCCCGCGCGGAGCGCCTACGTCCGATCGCGCGCCCGGGGGAGCGCGCCCCGGAGCTCAGACCGCGAGAACGCAGATGCGGTACGGAGACGGTCGCAACCCATGCCCCTCCGACCTTTGGAAGTGCCAGGGCGTCGGGGCCGCTCGCGAGCCGGGCAGGGAGCGCCTCCGCAGGAGAGCGCTTTCGTGTAACCCTCTGGGCCATAGCGCGCGTTACGCCCCCTCCCCCTCCCCCCTCCCCTCCCCACCCCCCCGTGACGTAACGCCCCCCTCCCCCGTGCGTCCCCAGCGCCGCCGCAGCGTGCGTCCCCGGCACCACAGTCTGGGGGGGAGGGGACGCTACGTGATGCCCCCTTCCGCCCCCCCCCCCCCCATGACGCCCGTCAGGGCCGCGAAAACATCACCTGCTCGCGGCGGCGCCCACGAGGGGAGCGGCGCAGGGGGGGAGAGCGGCGCGAGGGAGCGAGGGAGGAGCGGCGCGGGGGGTGGGAGCGGCGCGCCCCAGGTGACGCGTCCGTGGCCCGGCCGTTCGACTCCGAGGCCGCCGCCCAGGGGGAGGACGCTTGGGCGGTCGGGGACTACTACTCGGGCGGGGGCAGCGGGCATGTGGTGGCGCGCCGCTTCGTGAGCCCGCTGGACGGGATTCGGAGCGCGGAGGAGGAAAATCGAGGAGCAAGTGCCCGTCCCCCCCTCACTCCCGCCCCCTCCCCCTCCCACTCCTCCTCCCCCTCCCCCTCCCACTCCCCATCCCACTCCTCCTCCCACTCCTCCTCCCCCTCCCCCTCCCCCTCCTCCCCCCTCCTCCCCCTCCCTCCGACTCCCCCTCCTCCCACCCCTCCTCCTCCCCCCCCCCCCTCGTCCCCCCCTCCCCCTCGTCCTCCCCCTCCCACTCCCCCTCCCCCCTCCCACCCCTCCTCCTCCCCCTCCCCCTCCCCCTCCTCTTCCCCCTCCGCCCCCTCCCACCCCTCCTCCTCCTCCTCCTCCTCATCCTCCTCCCCCTCCCACTCCTCCTCCCCCCTCCACCATCCTCCCCGTCCCCCCCCCTCCCACTCCCCCTCCCCCTCCCCCTCCTCCTCCTCCTCCTCCTCCTCCTCCTCCTCCTCCTCCTCCTCCCCCCTCCTCGTACTCCTCCTCCTCCTCCTCCTCCCCCCCTCCTCCTCCCCCCTTTCCTTTCCCCCGTCCCCCTCCCCTGGCCGGCCAGCCGCGGTCCTGCCACCTCTTCTTGACGTGGGCGTTCGGCTCGTCCACAGGCAGCCGCACCGAAGCCAGAAACATCAAGAGCGAAATAAAGACGTACACGTACATGAATCCAAGTTGGTTTCGAGAGCACGCATCGCGCGAACGTTCGTATCACGAGGCTGGTCTCGCGGACCCGGAGGTCCGTGCACCCCTGGCGGCGCCTCCGGCGCCGCCCCTAGCGTGCTCCACGCGCCACGGATGGGGTCCAGAACCGATCCAAGAAATCCGCCCGGACATCCAAGAGATGTTAGACATTTCGCGTTACCTCACCAACACATCCAGATACGATGGCTAGACGAGTTGCCCTGATCAGCGATGTGGAGGAGCACGCAGTGGAATAAAGGGCTGGGTGAGACGTCATATCCCAAGAAGGGGAGGATGGAGGAAGAATCAGAGGAAGAGCAGGAGCAGGAGGAGGAGGGGATTTTGGATTGCCTGCTCGTTGAGGCAACTAGCCTGTCGAGTTACGGTGGCGCTGCGGCTAGCGATGCAACTGAAATAGTGATATCGCACGGGCACCTAAGGATTGCAGTATACAGCACCAGTACACCAAACCCACCTCTCCTTATTCCTTCCACCCCCACGCAAAATCCCCCACCCTTCAACTGGGCAACTGGACGGCAAACGCGAAAAGCTGCGACAGTGGCTTGCTGTGCCCGTCCAGGGCATTCGGGCGGAGGGGCGGAGGGAGGGAGGGGGAAGTAAGTACGTAAAGCGGGAAGGAGGAAGGCTGGGACGCAGACCACATTCCCTACTCGAGGTTGCCGGCGAATGGCAACGACTCAGCTTGGCATCTATGAGGCATGGCGGTACCGCAGTGGGAACACCATGCGGAAACTCTATGCCGAGACAGGTGGCCGTCAAAGCGGCCGTCGGCCGAGGAGGAAGATCCATCGCACGGCACTCGCAGGAGGAATCTTCGCACCTACGCACGGCACTCCCTTCCCGATCCATCCTGAACCCCCACCCTCAACAATACGCAGCTTGGCCGGCAAACGCTAAAGGGGCTTGCCGCAACGGCCTGGGCACTGTGGAGTAGGGACGGGAGGAGGAGGAATAATGAAGGCGAGGGAGGCTGCAGAGGAGGAGAGGGTAAGGCTGGGACGACGACCTGGGCCCTGAGCCCTCGGAAAAAGACGCGGCGTGGGAGCGAAGCTGCAGACACTCGATCGCCGCTCGGCCCTCCACTCACGCCTCACTCGGTCGCCGGCCCTCCTCTGCGAGACAAGCGGTGAACCGGAGTCGAGCAACGCTCGCAAGAGTGCAAGGGCCGTGCAGAGAAACGTGTGCATCCCACCGACAGCCACTCCTCACACCCCAAAGCATCAAGCAGCTGGGCTGGCATCTGGGATCGCTCAAGAACGACCGCCGATCCGCCGGCTCTCGGCCGCTCGGGATGGGAATGGGTGGAGGGGGGAGGATGATGAGGAAGACGAGGAGAGGGTAAAGCTGGGACGCAGACCTGGGCCCTAATCCCTCTTCTCTCTCGCTCGCCGGCCCTCCTCTGCGAGAACACACCGGCTCTGTAATCGAGCAGTGCTCGCGAGAGTGCACGGGCCGCGCCGAGAAACGCCTCCATCCCGATCCTCCCCTCCTCTGACATCTTGAAACCCCACCCTCAAATAAGCAGATTGGCCGGCAAACGCTAAAGGGGCTTGCTGCAACGGCCTGGGCACTGTGGAGTAGGGACGGGAGGAGGAGGAATAATGAAGGCTGGGACGCAGACCTGGAGCCTCCTCGCTCGGGAACAACTGGGCGAGAGAGCGATGCTGCAGAGAAATCGCTGAGCTCGCTCGCCGGCCCTCGACTGTCGCCTCTATCGATCGCCGGCCCTCCGCTACAACACAGTGGATGAAGGAGGGAGGGCGAGAGGGAGGCAGCAGCGGAGGAGAGGGTAAGGCTGGGACGACGACCTCGGCCCTGAGCCCTCGGAAAAAGACGCGGCGTGGGAGCGAAGCTGCTCCCACCGACAGCCACTCCTCACAACCCAAAGCATCAAGCAGCTGGGCTGGCATCTGGGATCGCTCAAGAACGACCGCCGTTCCGCCGGCTCTCGGCCGCTCGGGATGGGAATGGGTGGAGGGGGGAGGATGATGAGGAAGACGAGGAGAGGGTAAGGCTGGGACGCAGACCTGGGCCCTGATCCCTCTTCTCTCTCGCTCGCCGGCCCTCCTCTGCGAGAACACACCGGCTCTGTAATCGAGCAGTGCTCGCGAGAGTGCACGGGCCGCGCCGAGAAACGCCTCCATCCCGATCCTCCCCTCCTCTGATGTGTGTATTACATGTCATGATGCTCGGCAAGGAAAATGAAGCCGCGTGGAGGCACCACAACGGAAACTACCACGCGGAATCAGTGCAAGCTGAGGCATCTTCGCACCCTCGCAGCGCACATAGAGATACACAGCAGCACGATTTTCTATACGCCATGCCTGCCTCAGTCCCGCCTGCCTGGGCTCTCGCAGGAGCCGGCTCTCCCAGTAGGCGGCGGCCCGGCCGCAGCAGCGGCCCGAGCCTGCACAGCGGCGGCGCCGGGGGGGCCTCCAGGGTCCAGCGCGGCCCGCCACCCGACGGCCTCATCCACCAGGCGCCGCAGCTCGCACGCCCTCCACCGGAAGTCCTGCACCTGCGGGGAGTTTGGGGCCGCCTTCTCCCTCCAGTACAGCACGGCCTCGACCCTGGACAGCTGCTGCTTAAGGAGGCGGACCGCGCCGTCCGCCGCCTGGATGTCCGTGGTAGGCTGCACGCGCTGCACCCTCTGCATCGCCGTAGGCGGAGCAGCCGTGGGCGGAGCAGCCTCAGGAGGAACAGCCTCTGAGGCAGCATCGGCTCGCAGAGTCTCGGCTTGCGGCACCCGCGGCACCCGCGGCAGCCTCTCCATCGCCGACGGCCGAGGCAGAGCAGCCGCAGGCGGTGCAGCCTCAGGGGCACCAGCGACCATTTGGCTCTCAGCAAGCTGCACAAGGGCAGCAGCAGCCGCGGCGCGGGCCTCGCCCACGCGGTCGGCCGCGTGCTGCGGCGGCCGGCTCATCCCGAATGCCGGAGGAACAGCCTCTGTGGCATCGGGCGTCGTCGCTGCATCCGCAGCGGCCTCGGCGACCACCTCGTCGACGCGCGGCTGACCCTCACCGGCACCGCGCGCAGCGGCGGCGCGGCGTCTGGGCCACGCGTTCCGGCATGCCGTCGCCTGGCACCTGGCACTCAAGGACACGACAGCGGCGGTGGTGGCCTGTGCCTCAGCCGTCACCTGCTGCACGATCTCGTCCTCCGCGGTGGCGAGCCGCACGCGCGAACCCGATCGCGGACGCGGCTCGGCCTCGGGCTGGCAGCGGCGGCGACGGCGCGAGGCCGACCGCAGGCGGCCATCGCCCTGCTGGCCCGCGCCCGCATGGCGAGGCTCTCCAGGTGGCGGCGACGGTAGCACACGAGGCTGCTGCAGCAAACGCGCCGGACTCGGTGATGTAGGTGGAAGGCACACGAGCACGAGCTTGCAAGCCGCCAGTGGCTCAGCAAGAGCATCACGAACACGATCACGAGCACGGGCCTCGCCCGCAGCCGCAGCCTCCTGCTCCGGCGCACCAGCGCGACCAGCACGATGAGGCTCGCGATCGGCATGAGCAGCGACGCGAGCGAGACTGGCCACGTCGCTCATGAGCGGCCGGCGACCAGTCCGGGCAGCGAAGCCGAGCCTGCGCACAGCGGCGCGCAGGCCCGGTCTCGGCTGGTCGCCATGGCGCCAGCCGGAAGACTCTCGGTGCGCGCGGCTAGCCCTCCACTCGCCTGGGCACGGCGAGGCGAGGCGGCCGGCACGCATGGCTGCCCGCCCCGCGCGAGGTGCGCTGCTCCTGGAGCAGTCCCAAACACCTCGGACCGGGGCGGCAGCTAGGAGGAGGGGAAGGAGGGAGAGGGAGGAGGAGCAGGAGGAGCAGGAACACGAGGAGGATGAGAAGGAGAAGGAGCAGGAGGATGAGGAGAAGGATGGAGAGGGAGAGGGGTAGGAGGAGGAGGAGGAGGAGGAGGAGCAGGAGAAGGAGGAGGAGGAGGAGGAGAAAGGAAGAGGAATAGGCGGATGAGGCAGAGGAGGCGAAGGAGGAGGAAGAGGAGAAGGAGGGCGAGCAGAAAGGCCAGAAGTATCTTGCATGCCTCTCGGAGTCACTGCGGATGGTGATGATGATGATGATGATGATGATGATGATGATGATGATGATGATGATGATGATTTTGATAGTGATAGTGATAGTGATAGTGATAGTGGTAGTGGTAGTGGTAGTGGTAGTGGTAGTGGTAGTGATAGTGATAGTGATAGTGATAGTGATAGTGATAGTGATGATGATGATGGTGATGATGATGAAGACGATGATGGTGAGGATGACGACGATGATGCTAAGCATAATGCTGATACTGCTGATCACGATAATGGTGTTGCGGATGATGATGATGATGATGATGATGATGGTGATGATGATGGTGATGATGAAGATGTCGATGCCAATGATGATGATGCCGATGATGATGATGATGGTGGTTGTGATGATGGTTATGGTATTGATGGTGATGCGGATGACGACGTCGATGGTGACAGTGATGATGATGTTGGCACTGGCGATGATGAGGATGATGTTGATACTCATGATGATGTCGATTATAATGATTGGGATGATGATGGTGATGGTGATGGTGATGGTGATGATGATGTCGATGATGATGGTGGTGATGATGATGATTATGTTGATTATGACAATGATGGTGGCAATGATACTGATGATGGTGATGGTTGTGGCGATGACCGGGATGATGAGAAGGAGGAAGATGATAAAGGATCAGGAGTATGACGGTGGTGATGACGATGGCGATGGAGATGATGTTGTTGAGGATGAAGGTGGTGATGATGATGTTGATGATGATGTTAATGGTGATGGTGATTGCGTTTGTGATTGCGATGGTGATGGTGATGGGTGATGATGATGATGATGATGATGATGATGATGATGATGATGATGATGCTGCTGTTGACGATGATAATGATGCTGCTTCTGTGGAGAAGATGCTGATGAGGAGGAGGAGGGATGAGGGAGAAACGAGAACGAGGAGGAATAGGCGGAGGGCTGTCCCCTCCTCGCCTGCTAAGTCCTACCCTCCTGTCCCGGGCTGCCCTGGTCGCTCCCGTTTGGATGTTGACGTCTAGAATCGCCCCAAATACGAAGCGACCGCACTGCTTCCCATGCCTTCGCTGTAGATTCTTGTAGCTCGGACGCCCAAGTCAAAGGCCTGGGAAGTGCGTGTGTTCCTCCAACTACTTCGAGATCCCGGAATTGGAGGAATATTTTGTCTGGCAGATGCCTTGAACAGAAGGGTGTGGCGGTTGATGTGGATTATCATCTTCCCATCTCCGTGTAACCAGATATTTTGATTCAGCCACCCAGTGGTGCTGCAGCCTTGGTGTGGATTCCAGTGCGGATCTGCACTTTCATTCTGTGGCATAGGCGCTGCTGCCAAAAAATAGGCGGAGACGGGGCGGAGGAGTCTTGCGAGGTCTCTCGAGACTTTGTCGACCGTTTGGAGGGGCTTTCTGACGGTCCCGGCGGCCTCTTGAAGCGTTTTGGGTGTGTATTAGGGCTTCTTGGGGGCTTCTCTGGATTCTCTTGGGGACCCCCTGGGAGTACCTCGGGGGCATATCGGGAGTTTGTTGGCGCCTCCTGGGCGCCTTTTAGCGCCCTCTTGGGGCACTCTTGAGAGCCTCGGGGGCCATCTTGAGGCCATCTTGGAGGTGATCGATCAAAGAAGGGAGAGGTTCCAATTAGCACCCCCCGCCAACATGTGCCCAAACCAATGTAAAATCAATGATGTCGGCTTTCCCGCCGAAGCCAAACAAGACCCTCGCACACCTCGCGAAACCCCCAGTCCAGGGGGAGGGGGTAGGGGGAGGGGCAAACCCCTCCACGAAGTGAAGAGGGAACATGAAAGAGGGAACGCTGTAAACCACTCACGCAGAGGGTTGATGGGATTCTGTTATGCCAATTTTTTATGTTTAGAAAAGGTGCTGATATTCTGCGCTTCCCAGATGCGGTCGGTGCAGATGTGGTCGGAGGATCGAGCCGCATCGCCGATGCATCGGTGATGCGGTTCGATGTGGAGACCGATCTTATCCACGCCGACCGCGCCGATGCATCGCTGACGTCGTCGACGCATCGCTGATGCATCGCCGATGCATCGGCGATGCGGCGTGATCCTCCGACCCCATCTAATTTTCCCACTCCATCAAGGGGGCTTCTATGTACGTTTAGACAGGAGAGGGTTCAGCAAGGACTGGTACCATCCCCAGAAAAATTATAAAGTGAGATCTTCCCGAAGCCTTCCGAAAACCCTCCCCGAAAGGTTCCGGGATGATTTTCGGAGGGTTCCGGGAGGGTCTCAAAACGGGTTCAGTCGTTTTGGGGTTTATTTCCCACCTGGGGAACCCAGAGTGTTTTAACGACACGCGTCGCCCCGCAGTTGCGGATGCGTCGTGGGTGATTCGTGGGTGGGTCGCGGGGTGGGACGCCGCCGACGACGACGACGACGATCATAATTTTAAGATTGTTCGCGCTTTTTTGCTCGCGCATCAACCAAAGCGTATATCCCGAAACCTCGATACCCGCCCTCTCCGTTTCCAATCGTATCCCTTTTGGCGCACATCTTCCTTACCTGCGACGTGTAGTTGCCGCAGCCCCTAAAGCAGGACGAAGAGGAAGACAGAAAAAACACACAATACAGTGCAGCGGTGAGGAGAAGAGTGAAGGGAAGAGGGAGAGAAAGAGGGAACACCAGAGAGACTAGCATGAGGAGGATTACGAAGAGAAAGCATCTCAATAAGACGGGCGGGTCGGGCGGGCGGGCCCAGACGGCCGGGTCGAGCAGGCGGGTCGGTGAAGAGTCAGCTTGGCATGAACAGCGAGGAAGTATTCAGCAACAGTGCGATTCCCAAGTAAATCGTGAGGAGGCCCAGATCGAGAGTGTGATTAATGAGTGGCGAGGGCGCTGAGTTTGAATAAATTGCAGGGAAGTGCAAAGCGAGAGCGCGATTCTTATGTAAAGTGTAAGAAAGTCTCGCGCGAGAGCGCATTTCTCCAATTAGTTGTTGGGAAGTATCAGGCGGGAGCCGAACAGTTCGTTCCGAGAATAATTGATGTTGATCCTCCCCTTCCGGTTCACTTTCAGAGTTTTTGGGTTGAAGTGTTGTTCCCGGTGTTCGCACTTATTTTTTAATGAGGGACCAATGTGAGTAGCCTCGGACTATGTAGTTGGCCCCTGGATTGGAATTTGGTCACTCTTCCGAGCGCCCTCGGCATTTTTGTTGACCGCTTTGCATGCCGGGCACTTGACGAGCTAAAAACGAGAAACGAGCGTTACGTTTATGGTTGCGTTTTGATGTATGTTTCTTAGCGATTTCAGGCCCGTCGCTGTGGATATCATTTGTTTTAGCGACGTTTGCTCACTTGCTAAATGTTCTGATGTTTCAACCTGCTTTAGCCTTGATCACCAAAAATAATTTCGAGCACCAAGAGTTGTCCGAAACTGGAGGGTTTTCTCGTTGCGGGGCCCTGGGAGGCGATGTTTGTCCGACACTCTTTCGACACTTGTCTGGGTGCTCGCAATTATTTCTGGGATGTAGTCTTTCAGTTTGTGGACGACGATCAATTGAGAGGAAGCATGTCGCCAAATAATTTCCAGATGTCCAAAGCATGTTTCAAACATGTCTTAAACACGTAAAAGACATGCTTTAAACATTTCGAGGGCATGCTTCAAACATGTTAAGCACACCTTTAATTCAATGATAGGATTGTTAGGGTGTGTCCATTGTCATGGCATCCACGACCTCAAGTACGCGATGGGAACAACACAAGTCAGAGGCTGCTCCTGGTCGTCATCGCCGTCTTCGCTCGCGCTCGCCCGTCCCTGCCGCCTCCCGCTCCCCCCCCGCTCCGCACGCGGAGAGCCGGGGGTAAACACGCAAAACGAAAAACACGCCCTCACACCTGTCTAACATCAGCGCGGAGAGGAGGAGGAGGAGGAGGAGGAGGAGGAGGAGGAGGAGGAGGAGGAGGAGGAGGAGGAGGAGGAGGAGGAGGAGGAGGAGGAGGGGGAGAGGGAGGGGGAGGAGGAGCAGGAGGAGGAGGAAGGAGGAGGAGGAGGAGGAGGAGGAGGAGGAGGAGGAGGGGGGGGACCCAGAGGCCCCGCGACCAGCTGTGCGTGATCCATTGTGTAGCAGCAGCGTTGTGCATGATGTGTGCTCTGTAATGTTTCGGCTTAGGCGCTTTGACCAGTTTTAGCTACATATCAAAAGCATCGAGCGATATCAGCGATATCCGCCACGTCAGTGGCAGCGGAGCGGTTCACCCGCGGCTGTGCCGGCGGCGCCGGCACTGTTGGCCTCAGCGAGGCCCTGGCTGCTGCGCGGCCATCTGCAGCGCAGAACATCACCTTCGAGAATTTCTTGGCGAGTTTGATGCTTGGATTTGTCTTGTGGTTGTTTCTGTATCTCGTTGGAGGCCCGACGACGCTAGCAGAGATGATTTCCAGCCAAGATGATGACAAGTATCAAGGAGCAGACGCCTACGTTCCACACTGGGACGGCAATCCCGCTTCCTGGCACACGTACAAGGACGAGGTCAGGATCTGGACGCTTGGACTGAACTTGGATGTGCCATATTCGCTCGCAGCTCGGATGATCCGCAAGCTCAAGGGTGCAGCGAGACGGAAGGCCCTCACGCTCACGAATGAACAGTTGCAGCCTTTCCGTGGAGTACCTGAGCGACGCAACGATGAAGGTCTGGTCACACGCGAAGGAGTTCCCCCGGACCTCGAGCGGGGCATCCGCAACCTGATGGAGATTTTGGAGACGTTGTGCCCGCCGAAGGTTAGCAGGAAGGGCGAGACGATGGCGGACTTCTTCGAGACAATGAAGTACCAGCGTCGGTTGGGCACGAGGATTTCTGATTACATCACGGTGTTCGACCAGGGAGTGACTCGGCTCATAGACGATGGAGTTGATTTTTCGGACGACTCTGACATTTTGGGCTATTTCTTCATGAGGCGACTCAATACTACAAAGGAGCAGCGTGAGAGATTGATTGCGGCATTACCGAGCGAGACTTTCCAGCTTCGAGAGGTTCAGGCCACAGCGATGCGGATTTTCCAGGATATACACTTGACAGAAAGAAGCCTGCCTCGACGACCCGACCCCAAGCGGCCACCTCACAAGGGAGCTCGACCTCCGGTGAAGCAGGTGAATGTCACCGAGATCGAGGAGGACGAGGACTACGACGACGAGGAACCCGACGGGGACGGCGTCGAGGAGCTGGTTCAGCGCGAGCTCGAGGCCCTCGCCATGGAGCTCAACGAGGTGAACGAGGACGACCTTGATCAGGAGCAGCTGGACGCGGTCGAGAAGGCGGCGGTGCAGCTCACGGAGTTGCCGGAGGCCCTGGCGACGGTGCGCAACGCGACGAGCAGCATCAAGAGGGGCGGCGGCTCCTCCGGCTCTGGAGGCGCCGCGGTGGCTCCAAGAGGACGCAACGGCGGACGCGGCCGCGGTGGAGGCCGGAAGCCCGGCCGCGGAGGCAAGTTCCAGCCGATCAAGGACACGCTCGACGGCAGGAAGAAGAAATCACAGTGTAGGGCCTGCTACCAGTGGGGCCACTGGTCGGGAGACCCAGAGTGCCCAGGCCCGCCGCAGGAGGTCTCCGCAGTGACGAACGAGACGCAGCTCGACGACGACGAGATCGAGGTCCTTGCGGTGGAGATGTCGGCGCCCCTCGCCGTGCCCCAGACGGTGATCGCCCCGGCGGGCGCCATGTGCAGGAAGGGCGCGGTCGACTCGGCGTGCGCGAGGAGTGTGATGGGCACGCCCTGGTGGGACGACTACTACGGCTACCTGAAGGCTATCGGCCTGGACAAGGAGGTGACCTTCGAGAACGTCACGGAGACTTTCAAGTTCGGAGATGGTGGCACGGCGGATTCGGCAACAAGAGTGAGGTTCCCGGTTGCGGCGGCCAAGGTTCCACACTTCATTAAGGCCTACCTGTTGGACATCCCAGGCCTCAGCCTACTCCTTAGACGAGATTACCTGGAGTCAGTACACGCCGAGATCAAGACATCACCGCCGAGAAGGATCACTATTGGACCACATCGAGCAGAGCTTTCACAGGACAAGGCCACTGGGCACTACATGTTGGATTTGAACCCAGATGCCTACCATGTGCTGCGCAGCCATTCCAAGACCAAGAGCGAGTTGGACGAACTTCCCCGAAGGCTTCGACCGAGGACGAGTGGCAAGTTGGCTTCAAAGATCACGGCACTCATATGTGGAGCTTCGGCGGTTACCGCGACCGGAGGCCAGACGTGCAACGTAGAGGTGGTGAAGGACTTCGTGAGTATCAACGAGGTTCAGAGTATGAAGAACGTGACCTTTCCCACGAGTGCGGAAGTTCAGGACACGACAGTTGAGACGATTTGTGGAAATGAGTGCTACGTATGTGCGAGACCGACGAGTTTCACTTGTCCTTGTGGGTTGCATTCCTGCTCTGGTTGCGTGCGAGATGGATTTTGCCCTGGCTGTAAGTACGACGTGGACATGGTGGGCTTTGTGGACGGCGATTTCTCCAACAGCGTTCAGAATGGCACTTGGAAGTTTATGAAGCGTGGCCAGCACAAGCAGAATCTTTCGGGGATCACTAAGGCGAAGACGCTGCACGACCACAACGTGATCCCGAACCGCGTGAGGAAGTTGATCCAGCTCGAGCAAGCAGATGAAGTTCATGGACAGGCAGTTGCAGCTATGCGACGGGGACGCCCAAGGAACTACAGCCTGTTCGAGTTGGCATGCGAGCCCAATAGCAAGCTGGGGAACGAGTTCAACAAGGCCGGACGGACAGATAAGGCTTTCAGAGTTCATCTACCCAAATGCGACCTACGCAAGAAGGGTACTGTCGAAGGGTTGTTGGTGAAGATCAAGCGCGAGAAGAAGAATGGCAACCTACCGGTTATTTGGATCAGTATCCCCTGCACTCCGTGGTGTACATACCAGCGACTTTGGAATTCAAGGACGCTGGCACAGCGATTTCGACTAGAGTTAAAACGTCAGGAGAACAGAAAGATACTTCGTAATGTACTTTGGCTTCTTCGAGAATTACGCCCACTTTCGATACCTACAGGCTTCGAGCTACCCTTCCAGAGCGACATTTGGAATGGGAAGTTCAAGCCGAAGGAGTTGAGCCAGATCGAGGAGATCCTCAACTTGCAGACGAAGTTCGACGGGTGCCAGTACGGGACCAAGACCAGGAAGGGCGAGCCTATTCGTAAGAGGTTCAAGGTACTGACGAACCACCAGCCGGTGGTCAACAAGCTCTACAAGAAATGCGACGGGAAGCACGTGCACGCGAAGGTGTTCGGCGGCAGAGAGCTCATGGAGACCGGGAGGTACACGCTGGCGCTGGTGAAGGACATCGCCGCTGGACTACGAGCTCCCCGCCAGGGACACGATGTGCTGCCCGTGGCCTACGACAAGGAGATCACAGCTCGCGCCAAGGAGGTCCTCGACAAGATGGACCCGCAGGAGCGCGTGCAGTTGGAGCGCGTGGTCAAGCTGGTGCATACCAACACCGGCCACCCGACCAACGCCAGCCTGGCCAGGGCCATCCGCCTGCAAGGTGGATCAGCCGAGGCGATCGCGGCTGCCGAGGCTCTTCAGTGTCCGGACTGTGCGAGGCGGAGGCCGCCCGACATCTCGACGCCGGCCGATTTGAGGTCAAGTTTCGTGAGTTCGGCGACGGGGTGGCCGCCGACCTGATGATGTTAGCCGACGTCAAAGGCCACCAGGCCCAGTTGCAGAGCAACGTCGGCATGGCCACCCACTTCCAGCTGGTGGCACCGCAGACCGACAAGAAGCCGATCACTTCGTGGACGACGCTACTCACGAGGTGGATGGGCTGGGCTGGCCCTCCTCAGGCCAGCATCGCCGACCTCGGCGGCGAGTTCGAGAGGGAGTTCCGCGGCGAGCTCGAGGGCATGGGCTGCGAGCTGATCGCCACGGCGGCGCTGAGCCCCACGCAGAACAGCGTCTGCGAGAGGCACGGCGGCGAGTGGAAGTACATCGCCAAGGCCATCATCGACGAGTACCAGATCGATTTCACGGTCCCAGGCGTGCTGGAGTGGCTTTGCACCGTGGTCAACTGGGCCAAGAACAGCAAGATTGGCCCCTCAGGATTCAGCCCGGCGCAGTGGGTGCTTGGCCGTGGCTACAGGCTGCCCTACGGCATCCTGTCAAACCACGCGAGGCTGTCTCTCCACCAGCGGGCCAGGGACGACCAGACGTTCCAGCAGCGCATCGGCATGCTGGCGGCGGCGCAGCGTGCAGCCCAGGCGGTCGAGTACGATCGCCGGCTCTCGGAGGCCTTCCTGGCCAAGAGCCGAGGGAAGTCAGCGAGGCCATCGAGCCTCAATTTCAGCATCGGCGACCAGGTCTTCTACTGGCGTGGTCTCAACAAGGCCAAGACAATGTGGAATTTCAAGTGGCACGGTCCTGGAGTTGTTATCGGCTACGAGGGCAACAACGTGTGGGTTTCGCACCGCAACGCCACCCTCAAGTGTTCGCCGAAGCACCTCCGACCGGCCATGCCCGAGGAGTGCGTGCCCTGGAACGAGATCTTCGATGCTCTGGCCCACAACCTGGAGCCCGAGTTTGAGGAGGACACGCCGTATATGGAGGCACCGCCTGGTACGGAGACCGACTACTACGACATGACCGTCGACGAGGAGGAGCTTCCCGGACCGACCAACACACATCCAACCTCGGGAAGACGCTCTACGGGGAAAAGTCGCGGTCGGTTCGGCTACCGACCTGAGGGCTCGGCCGAGGAGGAGACCCCAGGACCCCCTCCTGATTTTGATGCCGCTGCGGGTCCTGACGAATCAGCCGAGCCAGATGCCAAACGAGTTCGATTTCATAATGACCAAGATCAAGAGCCGGAAATGCCACAAGTACCTCAACGGGAAGCGGCGCCACCCCATCAAGAAGCCGACCCAGAGCCGGAGACGCCCTACTTCGACCAGGAGTCGCCCATGGACGCGCACAATCAGCAGGTTCCCGAGGACGAGATGGATGAGGAGACGCCCTACATGGAGCCGCCAGGAGCCGACATCGAGGAGGAGACGCCCTACATGGAGGAGCAGGCCTCGGAGCAGGAGCCACAGACCGCGGAGGAGACGCCGTACCAGGCACCGGCCGCGGAGGAGCCCCGACCTGCACCACCTGGGCACGCTGTGCGACGGACAAGGTACAACCCGCTCGACGACCTGCCCGTCAGCATCCGCAGGAACCTCGAGTCCAGGAGGATGGCGGCACAGTACGACCCACTTGACGACGTACCGAGGGTGATTCGGCAGGAGCTTCGACAGCAGCAGGACGCCAAGAAGCACAGGGTCAACGAGCACATGATTATGGAGCTCTCACTCAAGGAGGCGGCCGATTTAGATTTCTCGACTCCATGCCCGACCAGGTTTAAGCGCGTCGATCTTGTGGGCAACTCGAGGAGCAAGGAGCTGACGTTCAAGAACCTCACGGGCGCCAACCAGGTCAAGATGCGTAAGGCTATGGCGTCAGAATGGGACAAGTGGCTGGCATTTCATGCAGTACGATTTTGTTCCAAGGAGGAGCTGGACGAGCTCATGCGCGAGAGGCCGAAGCTCAAGATCGTTGGTACCCGCTGGGTGCTGACCGAGAAGGACGTCGACAACTTCAAGGCGAGGCTCGTTGTTCAAGGTTGCCAAGAGAACGACCTCGGCATCCGTACAGACGCCCCGACTGGCAGTCGGGACGCCTTCTGGCTTACGGCCGGGTTCGCTGCCCAGCCGGGCTGGGACGGGGCTTTCTTCGACGCGAAGAGTGCCTACCTGCAGGCCGAGGGGATCGATCGCGTGTTGATGATCAAGATGCCGCTGGAGAATCCCCCTCCAGGTACCAAGCCAGGCCAGGTTTTCTTTGCGACGGGCAGTATTTACGGCACTAAGGATGCTGGCAGGGCCTGGTATTTGTATCTGAAGTCTGTGCTTAAGGAGTTCCAGATACACGAGAGCAAGCTGGAAAGAGGTTGGTATTACCTGGCACACAAGGGCGAGATCGTCATGGTCATTCACTCGAACGTGGACGACATGTTTTTCGCTTGGAAGCGCTCGAACGCCTACGTCCAGGAGATCATCCCGAAGCTCGAGAAGCGCTTGTACCTTGCCAAGAAGACTGGAGACGTGGACTACCTGGGCACTCGAGTTCAGATGACGCGCGATTTCATCAGCGTGACTCAGGAGAAGGCTATCAAGGCGATCGACGCGATACCTATCCAGCCGAGCCGTCTGAAGACCCCGGACGCGGAGGCGACGCCGGAGGAGATCAGCAGTTTCAGGGCGACCAACGGCCAGGTGCAGTGGGTTGCCACGCGCTCGAGACGGGACGCGGCCTGCAAGCAGAACATGGCCGCCCAGAAGATCAGCAAGCTCAAGGTTAAGGACCTCATCGACATGAACAAGTTGGTCAAGGAGCTGAAGGAGAACTCCACGCTGGGCATTAGGGTCGTCAGGAATCGGGTCAGGGTCTTGCACGCGCAGCTGCTCTTCTACGGGGACTCCGCATTTGCGAATGCCGAGGGCGAACGCTCGCAGTGCGGATTGGTTGGAGGTCTCACCCACAAGCCCGAGGAGGTAGCCATTGGGAAATTCAGCGAGATGATACCTCTCACTTGGTGTTCAGGTCGGGTGAAGCGAGTTGTTCGGAGTACGCTCAGTGCCGAGGCCTACGCCATCAGCGAGGCTTCCGAGTACGCCGACTGGCATCGCCAAGTGCTCACCGAGCTGCGTCTTGCCTCGGCCCTCAACGGGCCGCCGAAGCTGAAGGATGTGGAGCGCGAGTCGGTAAAGATCCCGATGACGACGCTCGCGGACAGCAAGAACCTGGAGGAGACCGTGGAGAAGGACGCCGGAGTTGTCGCCGACAAGAGGCTACGTATTGTTGTGAGCATGCTTCGAGAGAGTTTTGGATTGCCTCATTCGGTTTTGCGGTGGATTCCCACACATACGATGGTGGCCGATGCTCTCACGAAAATCATGGAGGCTGGTATCCTTATGAGTTTCATGAGCGGCCGCGATTACAAGTTTACTGCGCCGACGCCGAGGGCCAAGAAACTCATCCAGATGCTCACGATGGTCTCTCTTTCAAAGGGCGCCGCTGGATACGAGCATATACCGAAGTACGAGGTCAGTTGCGCAGAGTTTGCTGTGGACACTTTTGAGTATTCTGAGCAGTGGATATTTTCTTGGATGATGTGGTTTCGAAGTGCTGTGTGTGGAATTGGTTTTACTTTGGCTCTGTTTCTTATCATTTGGATTTTCATGAGGTTCAAGGGTGTGTTGACGATCACCCGGGACGAGGAGATTCTCGTGCCAGTCGATACCGAGATTGTATCAGTGAAGCCGAAGACCGGACCCAAGGGCATGAAGGTGAGAGATGTGATGACCATGTCGCAGACGACTTATGTCAGGAGCCACAGGCATGTGGCGGTGAACAATTATGAGGGAGATGTATTCACTGGGACAACCTACACACGTAAGTGACAATATCGAGGACTACGGGCCCTCCTTTCGAGCTCCCCGCTGAGCCCAAGGAGGTACTTCGCACTACGAGCCCCCTTTTGAGCTCCCCGCTGAGCCCAAGGGGGCACTCCGCGTGAGGCTCGACCTGGGTTGAGGTCCGAGCCGGTGACACTGCCGCGGCCACTTGGGCCTGCGGGACTTGTCCGCCACTGGGGCGGAGTGCAAAGACGATTTCCCCCTCCATCCTCGATCCTTCTCTCTTGAATTCACGATCGTTTTATGCTAGCAGGTTGTTTCACGTAAGAGTTGTTTCACTAAAGCCACTGGAGCAAGCCAGCAAAACCTGTTTAGAGCCCCGGGCCGACATATGACAGAGGCACGTTTAGACCGTCAGCGACGGACCGTTTCCTTTTAGATTTAAACAGCGTTTAGATCAGCAGAAATGTACAGCGTACATTTGGAGGAGTGTGCGTGATCCATTGTGTAGCAGCAGCGTTGTGCATGATGTGTGCTCTGTAATGTTTCGGCTTAGGCGCTTTGACCAGTTTTTAGCTACATATCAAAAGCATCGAGCGATATCAGCGATATCCGCCACGTCACCAGCCAGCAGCGACGACCAGAGAAGAGCAAAAAGGTTATGATAAACGAAACACACAGGGTTGGGCGCAAGGAGAAGAAACTAAGGACGTGGTAGACGGCTTTGTTAAACAGCGCAATCCACTGGTCTGAAAACGCTGATAAAGAGGAACTCAAAACGCCAACAGATGCGCAGGTGCTGTGTTGTTGTTTCGTGTGTTTGGGTTTCTTGTTGGGACCTGACAGCGCTTACAAAAGCAATCCAACACGCAGAGTTGAAAACTGCATTACTTGACGGCGTTTACAGCAACGGCTCCCGCCTGGTAATTCTTTACAAATTATTGAGCAACCATCGCGCTCTCGCGCGGGACCCCCCCGCAATTTACCCAGGAATCGCGCTCTCGCGTGCGACACCGCGCCGTCGACACTCAAGGCTCACGCTCTCGCCCTGGACTTCCTCACAATGACACTTGGGAATCGCTCTGTCGCTCGAGACCTCCGCTCGATCCATGCAGGGCTGATGCGTCAGCGACCCGCCCGCTCGACCCAGCCATCTGGGCCCGCCCCGCCCGCCCGACCCGCCCGTTAAAGTCCGCCCACCCGAGCCGCCCGTGTGTTTATGCCGCTTATGTTATTGTTGTTATCTTCCCTTTGATGATCTCTCTTGTGTTCCATCCTTCTCCTCCCTCGTCCCGTCCCTCTTCTATTCCTTTCCCTGTCTTAAGGGCTGCGCGAACTACACGTGGCAGATACGGAAGATACACCCCCAGAGGGGGGTACGATCGAAGACGAGGAGAGCAGATATCGAGGATTCGGAATATACATGCTGAATGACACGCGAGCAGAGAAGATCGAACAGTCGTAAAATGATTGGTGTTGTTGTAAGCCGGGGGGGCAGCAACCCTGTCCATCGCGCAAGACTTCCCCTCGGAAACAAACAGGGTGCGAGGCCCAGGAGGTGCACTGCAACTGGAAATCACAACACCATGGGCACCCGGAGGGGTTAACAGTAGTCATCATCCGCCAGACATGCGAGTTCAACTTGAGAGTTCAACAAAAACCATCATTTTGGACACGGAATCCCCCTTCACCCACCCATCCAGGGATGGTGTAAGAGCCTTCGGTCCCATTACTCTGAACGATGCCGCTGCCCTTGCTTCGTTGTCACCTTTATGGGTCTCCTGAGAGGCCCTCGTGGCCACGGCCGGATTCGCTTCGAAATTGTGGTCAGAGCGTGCCCCGGGAGAAGCCTGGGGAGGAGCGGTGTCGGTCTTTTCTGGTTTCCCCAGGAGCCGCGCACAGCAGGAGGGCATCAGAGTGATCTCGTCGCCCACAAACAACGTCAGCGAAGCCGTGTTTGCTTCGAAGTTGGTGGACGTCATCATCGTCGTCGTCGCAACCACGAGCGGCGAGTCTAAGGATCGGGAGAATCTGAGCCTTGACGGCGAAGCGGACTCGCTGATCGAGGCTCTGTCCGCGGTCGCGCTGCACAGGAAGATCATCGTGCTGATGCAGATTCCGGGGGCGGTCCTGACGCCCTGGCGCCAGTCTGTCCACGCCATCCTCGCCATGTTCCTCGGAGGGCAGGAGTCGGGGGTCCCCCAGAACGGTGCGGTGGCCTCACCCCGTGGCGAGTCGGTGGGAATATCGGCGTCAGCGCACGGTCTTGGGACTCGGGCCGTTTTCCGAGGACGCCTCGGGCGATGGGGGCCTTCGAGGTTCCAGAGCCATGCGGTGACGGACCGCGCGGTGAGGTCGTCACCACACGGACTTGCGGGGCCCCGGCAGGAGACGGGCTTGGCCTGGGGGACGGTGCTGTTCGGGGACGGGTCCCCAGGGGGTCGCCTGCCGGTGATGATGCCTGCGACCGAGGCCGACACCATACAGCCGTCCCTCAGCAGTCTGGTGAAGTACGACGAGGGGCTGAAAACGAGCTATCGGCGGCCCTCATTCAAGAACGCCTATCCTCGGGGCGTCCAAAGAGGGGGTGAGCATTGGGGAGGGATCTCACGACCAGGGCCCTGTGTTGCTAGTAGCAACTCGATTCGATGATTCTTAGCATTCGAATTATCATGTGTGTTGTTCCACTCTTCATTCAGCGCGTCCCCTGGCACGTGCCGCGGGTCATGATGCGCACCCCCCCTCTTCCCAGACCCTCGACGTCATGATGCTTTCACAGCGTGAACCCTGGGAGGTCGCGACCCATCCCCCAGGACCGGATCGTCATCCCGAGCTGTTTTTGTTGACGGCCCCGCGGCCCGGCGAGGCCCCCGGAGGCCGAGGATGGCAAAGCATTGCCCGTCGAGCTCCTGCTGCTCGCGGCGCGAAGGGATCCTGGCTTCCCGGACCCCCTCTTCGGCGCACCGGGTCATCCGTTCGGCCACGGCCTCTCCTACTCGAAGTTCGCCTACGGGCCGCTGAGGACCCGGGCTTGCGGCGGCGGGGCAGAGAGCCAGGCGCTGGCGTGCTTGGAGGCGCGCGTCAGCAACGTCGGGGCGTCTGCGGCGCGCACCACCGTGCAGCTGTACGCGACGTTCCCAAAGGAGCGGGGCGACGACAGCTGTGCACAGGCACCGATCTTGTCGGCCAGGCCCTTCCTGGTGGTCCCAGGATGGGTGCACACGCCTCCCTGGCCAAGCCGGGGAGGGAGTGTGCACCGATGCTGAACTCAGGCTGGGCCTGGCCAGGATCAGTGCATGCGCACCGTGTTCTTCCTTCGAAGGTGGCCGGGTACAAGACTGCGATCCTGAAGGGCTTTGCGAAGACTGACCTGCTGCAGGTCGATGGAGAATAGCGGCACGAGCGTAGAACCTTTCGGAGTTCCGCGCGGATTTCGGGGATCTGCGCTGGATTCCGCGCGGGGCGCACCAGGGGTGGCGCCAAAGGCGCCGCCAGGGGGTGGCCCAGCGCCGATCTGAGAACTCCGCGCGGACCGTCGAGAGAGGACGTTTTGTGTAGTGTGTTCTTCTCATGGCAGGGGGGCGAGTCGCAGGTCGTGGCGTTCGCTCTGACGAGGCGCGACCTCTCCTACTTCGAGGCCTCGGTCCGGAACTGGCAGCTGGTGGACGAGGTCATCGCCAGCATCGGAGAGTCCTCGGAGGACCTGCGCCAGAGCGTGAGCGTCCGGTCGCGGCCAGCGGGCCAGAGCGTGAGCTTCCGGTCGCAGCCCACGGAGTCGTCGCCGTCGCTCGCGGACGACGCGGACGACGGCGACGGCACGGCCTCGACGCCGCACCCCCCGGTGGCATCTCAGGTGTCGGCGGCGAGCCCAGGGGGGAAGGCAGGGTCCTCCTCCTCCCCCTCCTCCTGCTCCTCCGCCTCTCAAGCCATTGTGGGTCAGGCCTTCTTGGGGGGAGGCCCCGACCCGCATTCGCGCACGCGTACCGTGTGTCGGTGTGCCGCGCGCGCGGGGCGGCCAGGCACACCCGCGGCTTGAGGGGCGCCCAGCAGAAACGGCGAAAATTGCGCGTGAGGCCTCGGATGGCCAAGGGGGCAAACATGATCGCCCGAGGTCGGCCAGCCGTGGTCGGAAGAACGAATATGTGGTGTGTCCTCATTGCCCTCGTTCTTGGGTCTTTGTGCACAAAGCAGGCAAGACGGGGTGGGAGGGTTGCCGAGAGTGCGGGCGCCTGTGAAAAGATCCAGCCCGTGCGCTCGTCGCCTTCGACCTGTGGGAGGAGGACGGCGGCAGCCTGCCGTTACGCTCCTGCCTCAAGGGAAGCGAATCGACCCGAGACCCGATCTTGGAGGTTTTGCTGCCCAAGCTCAGCAAGGCCAAGTCAGACGGCGACCAGGAGACCCAGGACAAGCTCTTGGCTGTCTGCCCGTCCCTGGCGATTGAGTGGAAGCCGCCGCCCGAGGCCACGCCTGAGGAGCGCTTGGCTCCGGCAGACGACGAAGAATTCCCAGAGTTGGGGACAGATGAGTTGGCATCCCTCGACGAGACCACACGCAAGCAGTATGAAGACGCATCGACAGCTCACCAAAAAAACTCGCACCGCGCTCAAGTCAGCCACAGACGCGGGCAAGGCGGCGCGAGAGGCAGCTGAACGATTGCGCTCGGCACACCAATCTATCAAGCGCCGGCGAGGGCAACGTGGTCAGGCTCAGCTGACACAGCCAAGGACTAGGCGCAGGAGACCACCAACCCAGCGTCGGTGGACTTTACCAATGCGGCCGAGGTGGACCAGTACATCTCGCACACGGCGGCGTTGCGTGCCAGGGCCAAGGGCGTCGCCAGCAGCAGCGCAACATTTTCCTGACAGCCCCGACTCGTCGCAGAAGCAGTCAAGACCTACATGGATGAAGAGTGGCCATGTGGACGTGCTGTTCGCATATGCCACGCACTACGGGGAGAAGGTGCGATACTGCGTGGAGCACTGCAGTTTTGACATGGTTGGCCTGGCGGAGCACCACCTGCCACCCAAGGCCGCCAAGCAGGAGGCCAAGAAACTGCGATTCAAGGGGTGGCAATCGCAGTTCACATGGACGCCAGCTACACCGACGAAGAGGAGTACGTCTGGTACTCACGGGGGGGCGTGCTGGCTTGCCAGAGCAGGCCACGTCACGTCCGCACACCTGCCCGACAGCACGGGGCAAAGCGTATCCCAGAAAGAACTGCGAGACATCTCGATCATCCCTTGGCGTCTGAAAGGGTCGACGCTGGCGCTGATCTCGGTGTACCTGGATTGCAGCGTGGGGCTGGATTCTCCAGCCCATGCATCCAAGATGGTGCAGTTGACCCGTGTGGTGAAGTCTTTGGGCGTACCATGGATTGCATTGGGTGACTGGCATAACACACCGACGGAGATGCAGAACTCACCGTGGTTGAAAGCCTTGCGAGGAGACCTGCTGGTTCCCAGCGACTGCACCGTCACCTGCACGGCGGGCAAGGGCAGGCTCATTGATTACGGCATCGTTTCGAGAGACTTTCGACCGTTCGTGAAAGATTTCAAACCAGCGAGGGAGGCACATTGGAGCCCGCAGGCGGGGCATCACGTGCGACTGCACTCTCGACCAGCGTCAAAGTGCAGATGCCAATCCAGCCAGTGAAGATCGAGATCGCCACCCACGCGGTCCAGCGAGAAAAAAGGACTCAAGCGAGCCCAGCGAGACCGGGGGCGATATATCATACGGACGCAGTACAATGATGAGCAAGGCGCCGACGCAGCTGCGCCAGGTGACCTTCATCATGACGAGTTTACCCACCTCCTGGAGAGTACATACCCGACGAAGCAGAAGGATGCGGCCAGTGATGAACACTGGCTCTAGGCGTTGGCAGAGACTCGAGGGCTACCAGCTCAGGAGCCTGTTGATGAGGTGGCTGAATCAAGGGCGTACCGACTGTACCCCGAAGGAGCTTGCATATTGGCCAACCATGTTGGCGAGTAGACAGCTGCGGCAGAGAAGTCGCCGTGCCTCATGACGGACCCCAAGCCTTAGAGCACCGCGAGAAGGGGATGCAACCCCAAGTTCACGATGCGGAAGGTCACAAATCAAGAGAAGATCGACCGATTTTTGGACGCGGCGCTGAGAGATAAGGCCAACGCGCGGGAGGCGCTGGCAGCCAAAATGCGAGAGCTGGCGATCCTCAAGGCCAGGCATGACGTCAACGTGAAGACAGTCGATGGCGCGATCAGATCTCTGAGCGAGCGAATTGCGAGACTTGACCAGGCTCAGGGGGGCAGCAATGACACGAACGCAGATAAGCATCCGAACGCCAGGGCGTTGCTCGATTTATCCAACTACTTGGATGGCAAACCGCGCCCCATGTTGCGACGCCCAGCGACAGCCGCACCGTCGAAGAAGCGCAGCAACAAGAAGACCGAGGAGGGCGAGACAAAGGCGGCAGCATCAGCAGTGCGACCTTCGAATATGGACTGGGAGGGCGACCTTTTCGCACAGCTGGGCGCGGAAGCAGACGAGCCGCACGTTCTTCAACGGCAGCTCGAGGAGGAGGCGAGTCCAGCTACATCGTCGACGGCGCCAGCCCCAGCGCAGGATCAGCTACCGCACTAGGCGAGATCTAGCGTCGGATCCAGGCCCGAGGCCACGCCGAGTCGCCACGACCCCCGTCAGAACGCCACCCAGGATGATCCCCAGGCTCCTGGCCAGGACCCGCAGCAGGACCCCATTGGTGGTCTGAGCGCGGCTGCTCCGGGGGGCGGACCTGCCCCATGGGCCAACGCCACCGCCGCCCTTGGAGTGCCTGCCGAGGATACGCAGAGAGCCCACTCTGAGTCTCAGCGAGGGCTCAACCAGTCTCCCCAGCGCGGCGAGGCGTTAGGCCACGGCGGACATGCGAGGTTCGTGCCAGATGGGCCCCCCATGGCGAGGACTGTGGTAGATGAGCCCCTCGCGTCCGCCACCTCCTGCGACCAGAAGGCCAACGAGACGGAGTTGAGGACCGTGCCAGGTGGGCCCCTCAGCTACACCAGTCAGCAGCAGAACGAGGTGTCGGAGCAGGCCGAACTCATTGTCGACGATACGCAGAGAGCCCTTGCAGAGTCTCAGCGTGGGTCCAACCAGTCTCCCCAGCGCGGCGAGGGGTCAGGCCGCGGCGGACGTGCGAGGTTCGTGCCAGGTGGGCCCCCTCGCGGCGAGGACTGCGCTAGATGACCCCCTCGCGTCCGCAACCCCCCGTGACCAGAAGGCCAAAGAGACGGAGTAGAGGACTGTGCCTGGTGGGCCCCTCAACTACACCAGCGAGCAGCAGAACGACTTGTCAGCGCAAGTCGAACTCACTGCCGAGATCTATCAGAGGGCCGCTTGCCCCGTCGCCCTGGCGCGGCGCGACACTGGTGCTAGGGTCCGATCGTGGGCCAAAAAGGCGTCAGACAACTCGATGACAGGAGCACATCGGCACCTGAGCTCTGAAGAACAGGTCGACACCAGCGACGGCTGCCTGGACCCCGACACGATGAAGCGGGAGATGGGCCCGCAGCGTGGTACCCAGCTGCGACGGCGACAATGGGAGCGACGCTGGACAGTGCACAGGGAGTTTGCCAGGGTGGAGCTCCCACAGGCCATGAGCGACCTGAAAGCCAAGGTCA